TTATCAAGAGAGAGTTTGGATGACTTTGTGGTGAGTTATCAAGGGAGAGTTTGGATGACTTTGTGTGTGAGTTATCAAGGGAGAGTTTGAATGCCTTTGTGCATGAGTTATCAAGAGAGAATTTTGATGCCTTTGTGTGTAAATTATCACGAGAGAGTTTGGATGACTTTGTGTATGAGTTATCAAGGGAGAGTTTGAATGCCTTTGTGCATGAGTTATCAAGAGGGCGTTTGGATGTCTTTGTGTGTAAATTATCAAGAGAGAGTTTGGATGACTTGAGTTATCAAGAGAGAGTTTGGATGTCTTTGTGTGTGAGTTATCAAGAGAGAGTTTGAATGCCTTTGTTTGTGAGTTATCAAGAGAGAGTTTGGATGACTTTGTGTGTGAGTTATCAAGGGAGAGTTTGAATGCCTTTGTGCATGAATTATCAAGAGAGAGTTTGAATGCCTTTGTGTGTGAGTTATCAAGAGAGAGTTTGGATGACTTTGTGTGTGAATTATCAAGAGAGAGTTTGAATGCCTTTGTGTGTGAGTTTTCAAGGGAGAGTTTGGATGACTTTGTGTGTGAATTATCAAGAGAGAGTTTGGATGACTTTGTGTGAGTTATCAAGGGTGAGGTGTACTAAATATCTGAGTGTATATCAGATAAAACTTTACATTGGGACTAAGTAATACAGAGTATTTTTTATGACATATTGAAAATTCATTGGTATAATTTGCACAATGTTAATTTGTTAGGTATCAAAACTGCAAATTTCATGGAGGATCCTTCATTGGTTTAGATTTACCACATGCATTTAACTTTGTGTTGTCAAATACTATATATACTCAATCAAGTTAGATCTATCTGCAAATAGCATAGACCCAGATCTGTCTGCAAATAGAATAGACACAAATCTATCTGCAAATAGCATAGACACAGATCTGTAAATAGATCTGGTTCACTACAGTTTTGTTAGACATGGTCATTAAAGCATCTGTCAGTAGATCTGGTTCACCAGTTTTGTCAGGCCTAGTCATTGAAGCATCTGTTAGTAAATTTGGTTCGCCACAGTTTTGTCAGGCATAGTCATTGAAGCATCTGTTAGTAAATTTGGTTTTATTACAGTTTTGTTAGGCCTAGTCATTAAAGAATTTGTCAGTAAATTTGGTTAACCAGTGTTGTCAGTTGATTCTGTCTATACACAAATATTGTGATTGCATTTAGTCTTTCTTTATACCTGCTTTTCTGAACTTCATTATCTGTAGTTATGTAACTCAAGGATCAAAGAAAGAAATAAAGATGGATAAATGGTTTATCTGGTGGCAATTTCACATTTAAACATTTATAAGTCTTGCTGATAAAATCAAATGCATTTTATTAATGAGTTTGTTGTATTAAAAGAAGTGCCACACTTGAAAGTTTTCCTTTAATGTAGACATCAAACAACTTGTAATATTTTGCCTTGTTATTTATGTAATCAATTCTCAGTTCTGCTGATAATGGCTTAAATCTAAAATGAAGTTTAAACTAAGTATCCTTAGGTGATTGTCTGCTTTTAGTTGTTTCCTGTTTGACAAAACCTTTTTTAAATTCTGCAGCTTTGTTTCAAAGGGTTGGATTATTGTTTCTAAATATAAAAAAGGTCAAGATGTAGGGGAACATACTATTCCTGTAATAATATTGTTTAAAATTTATATATTGAAAGTATGCATTGTGTCCTAAAAGGAATATTTAGTTGATAATAACTGCTCACAGTATATACTCATCTGTAGGTCCAGCCCAAATGCAAACTGCACCAACTGCTATCACATAATTTTCTGGCAGATCTGGGTTTGTTCTGTTTGTTGTTTGTTCTACTAATTACTTCTAACATAGTCCCAGGTCTGTAAAAGCAGATACAGGTCTGTGTTGTTTGCAATTGGATTCACTCAGAAGCAAGTATATCTGTTAATTATTATCTCTAGGCTTTATTGGGACAGGGGTAGTATTTGTCAATCCATCCATTTGTTCATCTGTCTATAGCTGTGTTGTCTTGAACAGCTGGATAGGAATAGCTGGCTTGTACTTGGGGTAAGAAAGAAACCTATTGATTTAGCAGTCAAAAGGTCAAATGTCAAGGTCATTGTCTGGAAAATGCAAAATTATTTCCGACAATAATTTTAGTTCTCTACAACAAACCTGAACTCTACTTTTTAACAGTTTGCACTTGGAACAAGGTATCTACTGCTTTTAGGATCAAAAGCTAAAGGTCAAGGTCACTGTCTGAAAATAGGAAAATAGTTTGCTGTACAATTTTTTTTAAATTTCTTGACTTGGTAAACTTTGCCATAATTTGAAGATGGCTTGTACTTAAGATAGTAATGAAACCTATAGATTTTAATGTCTGAAGGTCAAAGGTGGAAAGTTAAGTAAGAAAATAATGCTTTCTGCATATAAACTTTGCAGGGCCCCAGGTGGTGAGTGGTCTAAAGTGCTCACCATTACAGATAACTGCCATCTCACCTTTGTCTGCATGGGTTTGAGTCTCTGGCTCAGCCAATGTGGATACATGAAAAGTTTGCCATGGGTCAGTGGTTCTTTCTGGGGATTTCTCCTGTTCTTCCTCCACCATGGCCATCATGTATAGCCTGTCTTGTGCTGAAAATGGTGTTAAACCCTACAAGAACAACAAAAACATTAAGTTTATGTCAGGGATCTTTTATTGTATAAGGTCATTTAAGATCTTTGTTCAAGAATATCCCGAGTCAGCCATGGCCGACAAATCAACAACTAATTACAAACTGAGTAGGACAATGATGTGCCTTTCACAATATTATCATTCCAGCCATATTGTGAATTTAGGTACTTAAACTGATTCTATTGTCAAAGCATAAATTATTCTTGTGTAGCAATCAAGGTTAAAACAGGCTAGCATTATTCAGATACAGTTAAACAAGATTCAAAGAAAATTGCATTTGCTTGGAATTTGCATTGTGACTTGTACATTTTGTTTATTATGCAACATCAATCTTTAGTGACATTTTTTTAATTGATTAATTGCTGTCATTTTACATTATTGTTCCTGTTTGGAATAAGCTGTCTTGAGGGTTGGGGAAAATACCAGATTACGGCTTTCATAACCTCATATTTTGGTCACTCACCCACCCCATGTGTTTAGAGTACATGTACTTTGTGATTGAGAATTTTTTATTCCTTTTTTCCAGCTCAGATAAATAATTTGATTTTCCTATCCCTGCTGAAATGATATGTCATTTTGATTCTTGAGTTTGTTTTAGAACTGATCATCAAATTTATATTCTTTTTTCCGAAGTTTGCTTGTGTGTTCTCTGCAATGAGGTTGCACACCTTTCATAACTATTCATGTGTGTGTGTTTAGTGTTGACACTATTCATTCATATAAGTCAGAATTCCTTATTATTTTTGTACTTTTGCATTCTTACCAAGCTGGTACTTATTTTTACTAATTGTTCATTATGATACTTATGCATTTATGGTTGCCATTGTATTATAATAAAACTTTCAGATTATTCATAGTTTTAATTACTTTTTATCCTTTACAAAAATTGGCTTGTACTAAAATGTAAGTGGTTGCTTTTATTATTCTGTATCTGGAGGACATCTGGATGGTGAATTGTTGCTGCTTAAATTAGAATTGTAAAACCAAAAAGGGTCATATAGTTTCTTAACACTTTTATAAATATATCTACGTAGAAGCATTTTGTAAATATTGTTTTCAGCTTTTTGTTGCAGAAATGTCTAAGCATGAAGTAAAGAGGTGTTGGCACAGAAGAGTCCCTTTGGGAAACCCACCACACCTACTCTATCTGGATTAACTGCAAAAGGACAGATGGTTGCTCCTTTTTGGTTGGATAATGTCTGGGATCTCAGTACATGCAGACAAGCTTACATGAGAAGCAAGAAAGTGTGTTCATCATCTTTCTCAGATTTGTGAAAAATTTCCTTTTTGATGTCCCTTGGATCTCAGAGAAGAATTAAGTCTCTACAGAGATGTCTAATGTTTAGCCCTCCCCCACTGTAAGCTGTCCCTCTATACGTGCAGTTACTGATTTTCTTTTTGTCCTGTTTGAAGAGAAACCTTGGTCACTTTCTATACCTATCAATCAAGGGCTTTAGTCCAGAACTTTACAACACATTCAAAATTTCAAAGGGCCCATGTGTTTGGTGCAGACTCTAACATAGCTGACCTGATCAGGTATTTGAAGGTGTAAAGACAGATGTCTCACTCACTAGTTTCTAGATAGAATCTCTCATGTCTTGTGGTCTCCATATAAACCCATGAGTGAAGCTTCTTTCTAGAACCTTACCCTCTCAATCTCCTTAACGTCAACAATATGGAGTGATCTTCATTCCATATCCATAAAACCAAGCTAATGTTCAATGGAAATTGGGACCCTGGCTGTCCAACAATGGAAACTGGGACCCAAGCAATGGCTTTCCAATTTTCAAATGTGCTTGCAATTGCAGATCACCCACACATCTCACCTTAGTGAGCTTTAGTAAGAAAGCTTACTGGTTTATGGTTCTTCCAAGAGTCTTCTCAGGATCTTCTTCTACCAAATACTCTTGCTGCCATGTATGGCCTATAATGTGCTGAAAAATGACATTAAACTCCACATAACCAATCAATGGAAATTTTGGATTGGATTCTATCCTTTGCCAACAAGGTTACTTGCAAAGAACCATATCCCAATTGATTGCTCCAATCCTGATTGAGGTCCACAGTCTCAGTCACAAGACATGTGCTGGGGCTGATTATGAAAAGTCTTTTACATCCAGTTTGACTGCTTCTAAATGGAGATGGAAGTGGAGGATATGTCTTTTCCTTCCCCTGACATTTTGAAGTGAATTACCATAAGACAGCTTATTGTTCCCCTCACCAAGATGGATCTTTCATTAAATTATCTCATGGACCATCTAATTTGTTGTTCCATGATCTCCTTAATTTTACCATAACCTTATTGCTTGTATATTCATTTGACTCCTATTGCTCATTTGATGCTCTGGTGGTCTAAGTGGTTAGAGCATCCACCTTGAACATGGGAGGCCATGGGTTCAAGCCCCCAGCAGAGGATTACTAAGTTCTGATATAAATGGTACATGCAGATGCCTTGCTTGGCAGACAACATTAACAAGTTAGTGTTAGGACTGCTTGGCCTGGTGTTAGGATGATGTGACTGAGTGGAACATCATGCTTCATGTCTGTGGCATGATGCCCCAGTGCTAGATGTCACTATAAACTACCACACTGAAGACATTGTAGCGATATGACTAAAATTGTTAAAACTATATAAAAAATCCCAATCACTCACATATACACACACCTTTCATTGTTAGTATATCAAAATGAATGTTAATTTTCTTTGGGTCTAATTATTATAGCTCAAAATTTGGCTTTGTACTTTTCCAGTAAGGGTTTGAATTCCTGTTTTTCTTCAATAGTTGTGGAATTATCAGTCTCCACCGAACTAGCAAATTCATATGTACAAGTTATGTATTAATTGCATTAAAATGTTGGTTTGTGTGGATTGAAATTAATTTTATTAATGTCATACTTGCCTGTTGTGGTTATTATTAGAATCCTTACTCCTGCCCAGTCCCACTTGTCTTTGTTTCAAAGAACAGTTGTGACTAGTGATTAGTGTCAGTGGAAAAGATTCTTAAATAGCAAGCTATGCTTTAGTAAATATCACTTCATTCAAATTAGCTTTAGCCATACAAATATATACATTTTATCGAAAACAAAAATTAAAACAAAAGGTGTGTTTATTCCTATATGCACAAATAATTCATTCATACCTCAACACATTCTTCAGAAGTATGAAGCTTAGAAGAAACAAAAAAAAACAAAACTTTAAGTTAGGTACATTTTTCAGCAAGATTATTTAAAATGATTTCATTTTCAAGTTAGGTAATTGATATTATTTATTAAACCTTATTACCAGCAAAGCAGTGATATTTCGATTTCAAAATAGGTGTCATCAAATTTTACAATTAATAAAGGAGATTTGTTCCAGACAATGCATAAAAAGTATGTTATTCAAACATAGTGTCCCCCCAATATGAATACATACATACATACATACATACATACATACATACATACATACATACATACATACATACATACATACATACATACATACATACATACATACATACATACATACATACATACATACACACATACACACATACACACTTATACACACATACATACATACATACATACATACATACATACATACATACATACATACATACATACATACATACATACATACATACATACATACACACATACACACATACACACTTATACACACATACACACATACATACATACATACATACATACATACATACATACATACATACATACATACATACATACATACATACATACATACATACATACATACATACATACATACATACATACATACATACATACATACATACATACATACATACATACATACATACATACATACATACATACATACATACATATTAATTAAGATTTTTGTCCATTTGTTCATCCAGTCAGTTATCATAGCAATCAGTTGTCACTTATAGTTTTGTTTCTGTTTAGACTAGTGACCCAATAATAATTGGCATGTTGGACTAATGGTCCAGAATCAATTGACATATTAGATTAACCATTCCATAATGACTCTAAATCATGGGACACCCTTAATTTTTATCAAAGTAATTTTTTTATAATCTATAAATCTCGGGACATTAAACTATAGCATTCTCTTCATCTAGTAGGACTCCTTCAACATTATGTTTCTAATAATTAATCAATCATAACAGAACACTCAAAAATGACTTATCATCATGAATTATTATCTGGAAATGTTATAAGTAATTTGTTTGCAAATAACTTTAAGTTTCCTGTTTTCTTATTTCAACCTATTTCAGGTATGCAAAATTTGATAGGATGATGATATGAATTTAAAGTTAATGGGTTGTTGTATGCATTTATTACAGTAACCTCTCCCTTTTGTCACTATTTTATTATTGTTAATGTATTATTGCATTAAAATTTTGTATCAATGAACCAGTAATTACGTTTTTATTTTGTCGTGAAAGTGTAATTTCTAGATCATTATAATGTGATTCCATATGGCAAGAATGAACACTGATTGTGTTTGGTTTATTGCTCACATTTAGTGAGCATATTTATTTACATAATGGCATCGCTTCATATACATTGAAGATTTTAACTTGCGCTGAATAAAGCACATCTCTTGGATTCTAATCATAGGCACTGTTACATTAAATTTAAATAATATTTCAAAATAAAATAAAAAAAGTTTCAGAAATAATGCTTTGAAAATAATTATTATTCTTTGAAAACTCAGATGTAATTTGCTTTGATGAAAGCAACTTTAAATAAGTATTAATTACAGTAATGAAGCCAATATTATGGATTAAGATCAGTTATACATCAAAGTAATGGTATAGCTGCCAGATAAAATTCCCTCATTACCCAGGCCAGTTTCAGGGTTTATTTGATTAACTAGTCTGGATTTCTGTCAGAAAACAAGGAACAAATCCAACAGTTATAAATGAAGGAGATGCCAAAACAAGCAGCTTGTTAATGTGTGTAAAATTAAATTTTTTTTAGCCAAAACCTAAAACTAAAAAAGATTTATGAACTTGGTTGATCTATGTTCGGAATTTTAGCCTTTATTGTGATCACTTACTTTCATGGTCATCTGATGTTACAAGATTATATGCAGGTTATGTGCTGTATACAATTAAATGTGTATGCTTTTTGACAGATTGAATCATTCTGTATGATCATTTAGATCATTAACAAGCAGTAACTTGTGAGCACCTGGATCAAAGGAAATGAAACAGTCTAGCTGAATGCTTTCTAGAAGAGTGCAAGTTGGGAAAACAATGAATAAAGCAACATCTGCAGCCAATATTTTGGAGAATAAACAAGGATATAAGTTACGCTAAGCAAGATTTGCAGTGTAAGTACTGTACATTATTGCCCAGCCTGGTCTCTTGGGTAAACTCAAGCCAGCCCAAGAATTTTGAAGTCTTTATTGACCTATATTTAATTTCATGTTGGAGAAATTAGAAAACATCCAATTGCAAAATAGTAGCAAGAGATGGTCACTGCTGTGTGAATTTTGTAAATTTTGTTTTGACATTTATTGGTGGACATGCATGTAAGTTATGGGGCTTGAAGAAAACAAAATTGTGTCCCAAGATGTACAGCCAGTGGTTCAAAATTGATTAACATAGTAGGCTAGTGGTCAAAAATTGATTGACACATTAGAATAGTCCAAAATTTATTGATGTTAGATTAGTGGTCCAAAAAGGTGCTTTTTACTATTTGCAATTCTTCAGTTTCAATATTTGCAATGTTTTTGCCCATTTGTCCACCCATCCATCCATTATGGACACTTAATTTCTGGGACAAAATTCTCAAAACTTGGAACAATTAAGAGACTTGTAGTTTGATGTATGTTTTGATAATCCAAATTTTTCAGTTTATATAATTTTTTGTTTGTATCCATTTGTCTGTTTATCTATCAATGCCTTTTCTAGAGCAAAACTCATAATTTCCATGTATTAGAAATTTTCAGCAAATCATTTCATCTTGAATCAGACATTTTGGTAGGACAGTCTATATACATGTAGATGAATCTGGGTTTTATATATGCCTGCAATGAAAGATTGTATCATGGTATATTGTTGTTTGCCCACTGATCTATCTCACTGCTTTCAATTTCATTCTGCACAATCACTTGAGCTGAACGTCATCAAGAATTAAAAAATTTTCAGGACAATTTTCTCTTGGGTTAAGGATGATCCCTTTATATTTTGGAGTCAAAAACTTTAGAAGTCACAGTAAATGAATGAAGAAATATGCTTTCTGCACAATAACTTGAAGTCAACCATCTGCATTTAGAAACATTATAGATGGCTTGAACATGAGTTAAGAAATAATCCTAGGTTTGAAGGTCAAGGCCACCTTTAAAGAAGATAAATGGTCTCTGCACAACACATTTTTCATCATCCACATTAACCAACCTTTGTGGATGACATGCACTTGAGTTAAAAAAGAATCCTATTGCCTCTTGGGTTAAAATGTTCAAGGTCAAGATCATTCTTTCTACACTATAACTTGTATTCTCAACAATCTACAGTAATAAACTTGCAGAATCAAATTTTGCCATTTGAAGGTCAAATACCATGGTCACTCTCAGAAAGAAGACAAATTGTTTCCATACAATAATTAACTTTTTCCATCATCTGGAGTTGTCATGCATTGTGAACAGCTTACATTTGTGAAAAAGAAGAAGCCCTGGTTTTAGAGTCAAAATGTCACTGTTCAAGGTCACTGTTACTGAAAGATGACAAATAGTTTTAGTACAATACTGTTAGTTCAATGTCACATACCGGTCTCAAATTTTGTGGCTGGTTTGTGCTTGAAATTAGGAAGAAGACTTGATTTATAGTGAAAATGTTAAAGTTCAAGGTCATTATGTCTGAATGAGAACAAAAATGATTTCCATGCAATTAGATCCATTTGATCAGCATCTCCAGTTAACTTAATTTCCACTTTGGGATAAGGAAGAAACCTATCAATTATGGGGTCACCAAATCAGTGGTCAAGATCACTGCATGGAAGAAGTGGTTACTGCAAATTCTACCTAGCCACATGGAAGAGTATTAAACACAGATTTGTGTGCCATTTATGAAGCTCTTGATTTTAATACCAGTACCAAGTTTGTGAAAGACCCTTTCTATCTCAGAATAATTTTTATGGTATTCAGTTTCTCATGATGTGCAATTTTTGAAGGGATGTAACCATGTAGGACATGTATTTACATATAGGCTTATACATGTATGCACTCGTTAATTTTCAAATATATGGTATAACAGATGACTTTTACATTTATCTTTTAATGGGTTTTGTCAGGTGTTTAATAGTGAGTGCTTATTATAGCAAATATAGTTATCTGATATAATCAAACAGGTGAATACAAAAAGTAGCTTGTGGGTATAGTTATTTGATCCAGTTACTATGCTGTAGAATATTGA